ATTTGAAGATATTCAGTGAAATAATTTCTGTGGTGTGTTTTTTTCTTTGACAGACTCCTTTAAAAAGCTCTGGAAAACAAACACAGGGGAAAAAAATGAAAATATGTTAAAATAAGGAATAAAGTAGTTACTGAAGTGTAATAATCTCGGTTTATAGCACACTTTCCATTTAAATTGGTTTTATTAGAGATAAACCTGTTAAGCATTGAGGAATTAAGTGCTGAATAGAGAAGGTTGTTTCACTGCTGTATAAATGAAGGATCCTAGTATGCAGAAAAGAGTGCAACCAATTTTACAAGTGAATTATTTACCTGTTCAAAGAGCTCCAGTTACTTTGGCATCTTCTATAAAAATGATGATTTGTTTATTGTCAAGAGGGATACTGTTATTTTCAGAGGGGCAAGAGAGGTTTTAGCACTGGGATTTGTAGGTACTATGGGTTTTCTCATTCTTCTTACGCCTGGTTTGCTAGAAGGAGCTCAAGGAGAAAATGAGGCAGAGAGATTTTCGGGAATTTCTTGGCACTGCTAGTGAGACACAGACTTCTGGCATGCAGCGCTTTGGGACAATATTGAGAGGGAGCAGCCTGCGACTTCTAGTAGCAAAAGTCAGTAATGGTGTGAAACTCTACTCATTTGGGAGGGCTAGGGGAAGAGAAAAATTCAATAGACCACGAAGTCTCAGCATCTCACTTCAGACAGCTGGTCCTGGAAAATTTCATTCAAAGACTGCAAATTGGAAGTCCCCACAATCGCTCTGTCGATGCTTGAGCAAAGGTGACTTTGGAAATTTGTGACAGCAGAGGAAGGTCTTGTTTTATTCAGTCAACAGAAGTGAAATACAAGGGGAAGGGAGAAAGAACAGATCTGTGTGGAAAATGTCACTTGGGCTGTAACCTGAGCCTTAGTGAGCTGTGCCTTTCGGAGGGTTTGGTGACCCTCTGAAAATCCTTGCTCTCTGGCTGCTATTATTGCAGCCAATTTCCAACTAAAATAAGTCTTTTGTCATCACCGACCATGCCGCCTCTTGCTGAGAAGAAACAAAACTTGTGCATGGCAGTGAGGGCGGCCAAGCTGAAGGTCAGAGTGCAGAGGCAGATTGCTGCATCCCTGGGGCTGGGGCTGGAGCTCACCCGTGGGAGCAGTGATGTACCAACCAGGGAGTCTGCCAGTGACCTCTGGAGACAGACCCCAGGCAAGAAGCCTAAGAGAAAACATCCTAGTAAAATGCAAACTGGAGAAAAGAGGGTTTCCTCCTCATCTTTAGGGTAATGGAGGTGGAATGGCTGTTTTTCTCTTGCTTTTTTGGACACAGCAGATAGCACAATCCCATGTGACCAAAAAGGACAAGGAAAAGTTAACTTGAAAAAAATAAATACTTTAAACTTCTGTGTTTGCCCAACTGTTCAAATGTTTCCACCATGCCAGATCCTTCCCCTTTGCAAAACAAAACAAAACAAAACCAAAACAAACAAAAAAAAACCCCAAAAGAAAACAAAACAAAACAAAAAAAAGGAGGGAATGGAAGGAACCCAAAACATCAAAACATCACTTTTCAGGGTTCTTGGCTCTCCTTGGGCTGGGTGGTGGATATGACTTGTACACTGAGGTATATTGTATTGTTTGTGCCACTATTGATCCTGCTCTTTTGAGGCAAACCAAACCAAAAAACTTTCAACATCAGAGCAAAGGTACCAATGCACAGAGCACTGGAATGGGGGAAAATAGTTTATGCAAGTCTTTGAGTCTCATTGGGTCTTTATTCACAGGAGTAAGATTATACAGCTGTCTTAAGTTTTATGCTGAGTCGTATTTTGACAATACTCCATTTCAGCAGCACTTAATATGCAAATATCTTTTCTAGGTCCTGATTCCTTTGAGCTTTTTAAAATTGGAGTGATTTAGAGTTTCTTTCTCTTAGGTGAATGTGAACATTTTAGAAGAGGGGCAGTGAGATTTTTCCTGTTAGCTTTTCCATCATTTTTGCTGATGTTAACATCGGTCTGGCACTTTGGAAATCTGAAAAGTGATCAAAAGATCCTGGCCCTTCTCTCAAAGAAAAAAACAGAGTATGAAGAAATTAACCCTGTGCCCATATATTTCTGCAGCAACGGCTAATTCACAGTTTTACTTGCAAAGAGTTCTCAAATGTAATTTATAAACATCACAGCACTGCATTGTGCTCTCTCAAGGCAAGCCACATTAATAGTTTTAATCTGAGGGGTTCTTACAAATTCCAGGTTTGGGATGCAGGAAGAAACTTGAAAGCAAATACTTTCTTCTTTTTTTTTTTTTTTTTTTTTTTTTTTTTGTTTTAATGCATAGTGGTTTGGAGTCTACTATAATGCAAAGTAAAGCGTTGTGTTACAAAGGCAGGGAGGATGGGACAGAAGGTTAAAGGGCATCCTGGAAACAAACAGCTGGACCAGTTTATTTAAACAGATACAAGGATGGGGAGCTGACCTCCGTTTGACTTCTAGAGGGAGGAGCAAGAATGTCATTTTATTACTTTGCCCAGAAGGAAAATGTTCTTGCGTCTGAATTCCCCCTGAAGACATCCAAACACTGAGCTGTTTGGCAGAATTGCTACTTATAGAAAATACTTACACAAATGCGTAGGAAGAAGATAACTGTTAAGTACCTGTGTGTAAAATGTTCTTAAAGCAGATATCCCAAGTGATAGCATGGGGCAAGAAGGTGAGATTATGTTTTACCATAGGCATGTCTTGTGGATAATTATTGGTAAACTCTCTCTAAATAGTTTATTCTAGTATATTAGTATATAAACTATACTATATAGGGAGAGTATAGTTTATTATTTTGAGACTCTTTTTAAAAGTGCTTGTACTTTGGAAAAGGAAGAGAAGGTTGTGAAGTTGTGATTTGCATGCTTAATGTTGCTCAGCATTTATTTGAGGTAAAAGCTATTGACAAATGAAGGTTTTGGTGACCAGTTACTCTCATGGCTACCAAAACCCCTCCGTTTCTGCCACAGTACCAGCTCCTGGCAATGGGGCAGAAGAAGGATGAGGTAAATAGAGCAAGAGCCTTCCTGGACTTGCAAAAAAGAAGTGACTGAGGCACTAGGGTTTTGTGTTGTTGTTTTACTTTGAAAAGCTACTGTGAAAATTGCTTTCTGCAAATGCAGATTACAGATATTAAACAATTTTCTAATTGGTCATGGAACTAAGGCAGCTAATGGGGGAAAAAAGCAGATTTTTTTAATTGCTTATTTCACATGGTGTTTCTGCTACACCTGTGCTTATAATGAGAAAGGAGAATTAGTCTAACCTTCTGCTCACATGATTCTAATTTTCATGGTTTGTACAAGATAATGATAAACTGATTTGCAATACTGTTTGCTGGAGTTCAGGGGGGTGTTTATTAGAAATGTGTAGAAAAATGGATTCAATACTGTTGCTGCCAAAACATGACCTGGTTCAGGTGTAAGGTTTGCAGATTGGCATCCAGAATTGGTGCCTTTGAGCCCATTTTCTCAAGACAGGTTTGATAAGGACTCAACAACTTGATTAATTTTTGCAAGAGTTTGGGTAATGGGTGTCACTGGGCAATGGGAGATAGGAGGAGTCCAAAATCACCATACTGGTCTTTGATGAGGGCAAAAGAAACAGCATGGGGCAGTGGTTTGCTATTCTTC